GATGTGTTTTCCCCAGCCTCCCCTAGCTTTTCCTGCTGTCCCTGGCCAGCCCACTAGAGCCTGACCATCTCTGCCCTGAGTGGAGTGATCCTTGAGGACCCTGTGGAGGATAGATTATACCTTGTGCCAGAAAACAAGTGACTTTTACTCCTTTAGAGGTTTTACTAAACCTCATATATCACGACACACCTAGTACATTAAAATGATGCCTGTTCATTAGGTTATCTTAAGCATTAAGATAGAACTTTGATTCACTTTAATAAATGCCATTGCTAGCTAACTTGTAACTGCAAGTATTTTAGTGGCAGGAGAAGCCTATTGGTTTGTCCCAGAATGTACCAAGTGGCTTCCTGGGCTGGATGGTCCCTATCCTGGCTACCCAATGTTACTGCCTTGTCCTAGGGATGGGGGCCCTGCACCTGGGCCGTGGAACCCTGGCCGGCATTGGGTGACTGGTTTTGGTTTCTTTTCCTGAGCCTTTGTTCATCTCAAGGCTTGAGAGAAGCTAAATCTATAGAAGAAGAGGAGGATTAGGAGTTTTGTGATACAATGACCATGTAGATTCTTTTCATTTGTGTGTGTGTGTGCGTGCGTGCGCGCATGCGTGGGCATGTGTGCGTGCACACACTTGTGTGCTAGGGTTTGAATTCAGTGCCTGCTGCTGTACCTGAACTTTTGTGCTCAAGGACTGTGCTCTATTATTTGATTCACAGCTATAAGACTAGCTTTTTGTTTGTTTCTGTTTGTTTGTTTTTGTTTGTGTTTGTTAATGGGATATAGAGTCTCATGGACTTTCCTGCCTGGGCTGGCTTCAAAGTGTAATCCTCAGATCTCAGCCTCCCATGTAGCTAGAATTACAGGTGTGAGCCACTGGTATCCCAGCAAGGTAGATGTGTATTTTAACAGCTTCTTTGAGGTGTAATTGACGTACAATCCACATATATTTCATGTATACAAACTTAAAGTCCCACATGTGAGTTAGCTGTGAAAGCATCACAAGCGTGAGGACGGGAAGCTACTCAGTTCCCAAATGTGCTCTGGTGCCTCTCCGGGGAGCCAGTGCGGCACTCTGCCACAACAGGGTAGGTTTTATGTTGTGTGAGGGTCGGCCTTTTCATGGCTGAACGACCGTATGTATATTGTTGTATATATAACATGTATGCATATATGACCCAATTTCTGTTTCTATGTATCAATAGATACTTGATTGTTTCTTTCTGTAGGACATTGTCAATAATGCTGCAATGAACATAAAGATGGGACAGCTCTTCAATATAGTGATTCAATTGTCTTGAATACTCAGAAATGATCCTGCTTATCCATATGGAATTCTCTTTTCAATTGTTTTGAAGGGTCACCATTTTTGTTTCCCATAATGGTAGTGCCCACGCTTAGTGTACAAGGTTCCCTGTTCTTCTCGTCTCTACCAATACCTGTTATTTTTAGTCTTAGTGAAGGAACTTTCTAAGAAGTGTGAGGTGGTAACGGATTGTGGTGTTGATGGGCAACTTCCACATGAGAGATGCCACTGAGAGTCTTTGTATAAGACCTTGTTGTCAACTCTGTATCTTCTTTGCAAGAATGTCTATTCAATTTATTTTCAGGTCTTAAGTACTTATTATACTATTGAATTACTTGGCTTCTTCATATTTTTGGACAGTAACCCTTTATCAGATACAGGGTTTGCAAATACTTCCTCACACTCCATAGATGGCCTTTTCATTTTGATATTCCTTCCATTGAGGTGAGTAGTCTTTTCATCAGATGGAGGCTTACTAGTTTATTTCTAATTTGTTTTTGCCTGTGTTTCCATGTGATATCCAAAATATACGTGTCATTATATCAAAGAGTTGTTTCTTTATGTTTCTTTTGAGCACTTTTACAAGTGTATAACTTATGATATAAGTTACTAGCATAAAAGGAGGCTGATGAAGGTGATTAAAACTATATAGTACATCTTTAATTCTTCTAGAAGTATCTGCAAATCTCCCAGATGAAAAAGACCTTAGGCTATGCCAATGCTTTGGGCAACACAGAATGGTTGCAAAAAAGAAGGGTAAAAGTTGCATAATTGAATAAATCCATTTGGAGAAGCCTGACTAATAAATCCTGATTTAAGTAGGGCTTTGCCTACAGAAGCAGTCTCCATTCACGGACCAGACCCTGGTTCCTTAAGAGTCTGGGCTGAGGCAGAGCAACTCCTGGCCTCAGGCCTCTTGTCTGGCCTCTCCCATGTTGAGGTCCCAGTAATCTCTAGTGTCAGTAATCTCTGTGTCAGTCACAATGAAGGGAGTAGGTTTTACCCTTTCCTGTACACATTTTGTCATCGGAAGATCAACCACTGCAAGCACTTACTTTGGATGGGCCAGTGAACTGAGAAAGTTAAGATCCTTTCCCTCATTGAATGGATCCCTCCACTGCCTTGTGTCTTCAATGCCAGCGATTAAGCAGGATCTGGGCCAGCATCTGTTTTCTACCGTGTGTAGGCAGCACGCTGCCGTGGGACCCCTGTACTTACCTTTCTTGGGGCCACTTTCGTTACCCTGAAGTTGGCTTTTGGAGTAACTCTCTATCATGGACCTCACAGGCAGCATCAAGGCCACCTCAGTGGCCCGGAGTGGACCCTAGGGCACAGCCCCCTAGGGCTTGGGTTGCATCACACAGCCAAAACCAACCTTATATAACCAGGATGACCTGGAGCGAGCAGCTACCTCTGGACTCCAGACAGCAGGATCATAGCCACCGAGTGTGGATGGGGTGGGGAGGACGTGTGGGGCCGACCCCTGGCTTCATGTCTGTCCACGCTCTCTCTGGGCAAGTGCATCTTCCCTGTGACACAGTTTGTCACCCGGGGCTCATCTGGAACAGTCCATTTGTCTAGAGATGCCCCGGTGTGCTGTGTACAGGCAGGCTGTACTTCTCCAGGCTTTTCCTCTGTCAGTCAGGATATTCCCTTGCAGTGTGTGTGCCCCTGAGGGCCCAGTGACTCCCTGTCAGGAGGACACCGACTCTGTGCTGTGAGTACCTCTCCTGTCCAGGGAGGAGGGAGTTCAGATATTCTGATAACTGTCACAGGAATGTGAGCGACTCGGGGACAGTCACAGACACTGCTCTCCCCAGCCTGCTCTGCGCTGACTCTGCTGTGAGCCAGGGCTCAGGCCTGCCTCAGGCAGTTGGCTCCACAGTCTCACCATGCACTTGATCCTTGGAAACGAAGACATGGTGTTTTCTATGGAGTTGATGCCCCAGACATGACAGTTGCATACAGTTCATGATTGGGAAGGCACGGAGCTGTGTTTGACCACAGAAGCTGGAGGCGGGCGGGAGGGTCCCTGCTCTCTCTCAGCTGCCCTCTGCACCTGCCCCACAGGAACCATCCATCTGCACTTCCCCAGGGCTCCGCAAACGTTTCCGCCGCACGTCCATCCAGAGGGGTATAGGACACAGAAAGGACACCTCCCCTCCTTGGGTAGGAGAAACTGCTTCAGACATCCCCCACTTGCATCCTGTCACAAACCCAAACAGGGTTTGGGTCTGCAGTCTTTCTACAGTCCCTCTGGTTTGGCAGCTGTAAAGTGGTGTTTGAGGTGAGAGTGGTGTTTGGGAAAGGAAAGTGGTTGCAGTGTTGGTGTTGAGCTGGTGTGATAACCATTCAGATGTGTTGAGCCTCTCCCTCTCTCTCCCTCCCTCCCTCCCTCTCCTCCTGTTTCTCTAGTGTGTGTGTGTGTGTGTGTGTGTGTGTGTGTGTGTATGTGGAGTCCTGAGGCACTCTAGCACTCTACCACTTAAGTCACAACTTCACTTGTGGCTTTTTGGGTGGTTAATTAGAGGTAAAAGTCTCATGAACTTTCCTTCCACGCCGGCTTGGAACGGCGATCCTCAGATCTCAGCTTCCTCCGTAGCTAGGATGACAGGTTTGAGCCACTGGCAATCTGATAAGGAGAAGAGGGTGGCTGATCCCAGAAGCATATTATGTTCATTTCAAGAATTTCTCTCACAGGATTTGGGCCAAGCTTATACTGAAAATGACGACCCTTATTACCAGAAATTGAGGTTTAACGGGACATGTTGCAGCTTATTTGCTAAATTAGGACCATGTCTAATGCATGTGGCAGTTAGGGAAGCTGTGTGACCAATGACTAGATGTGTACTGTGTAACTGATAGCTGCTCGTCCTACACAGACTGAATGGGAACAAAGTGTGACTGAGAGTCTGTGGGCTTGCCAGATAGGAAGCAAACAGAGAGAGGACCAGCCCATGGAGAGAGGCTGGGAGTGGGCAGCTCCAGCTCTGATGATGTTATTTTTATCACAATGAATTTTGGTTGTTTGTTTTGAAATGTGAGCAGAGCTGGTACAATGTAAATTTGGGCTGATTCATGGGGTGAGTCTGGATGGCCATACGACCCTGGAAGTTCCTGCAATGTGGTCCCAATGGCAGAATCTCCAGGATGGCAGGGGTATAGAAAACCATGCAGAGAACTGTTTGTAGACTCTGGGGTCTGCCAACACAGCCTGGGACTGGCTGCCGCAGCCACAGCATGTCTGGATCTGGCTGCCATTTCCTGCATAGACCGATTGTCTACTAACAATTTGAGCCAGTTCCCACCCTCCCCTCAGCTGTCCACATGTAGGGAGGTACCATGGTCAGCTTGCTGAATCCTGGCCATCTCGGCCCCCATGGAGTGGACTGGAGAAAGTGTGCCCCCCGTTCCCTCTGTGGGTTGAATGGGGCCCCGTGTCCATTTTTGTTCACACACAGGTCTCTGTGGAATGTCTCACCGACCTGCCCTTCCCTTTAGTTAGAGAACCAGGAGTTTGCTGTTTATGTTTTGATCTGATAATGTAAATTTAAGCAATGTTTTTCTACCAGACAGGCTACCATTGCATGGACTTGGTTTTTCACATTTTAAAAAGTGACATTTAGGTAAAAGCCAAGTTCATCTGCCCTCGAGAAGGAGGCTCAAGCTTCAGACCCCTCTGGTCCTGCTCAGGATACTCATGGCTCCTGGAAACCAGTCCGAGGTGACCGTGTTCATCCTGCAGAGGTTTGTGGATGACCCTTGGCTCCAGGACGCCCTCTTCGGTCTCTTATTCATCTTGTTTGTCACGGCCCTTCTTGGCAATGTCCTGATCATCACAACCATCCGCGGCAGCCCCAACCTCCATAGTCCCATGTACTTCTTCTTGGCCAACCTGGCCCTGATGGATGTTATCTGCACTGTGACTGTCCTGCCCAAATTCCTACAGAGCCTCGTAGCTGAGAACACCATCTCCTTTGGGGGCTGCCTTGTCCAGATGTTTGTCTTCTCCTGGGTCCTGGGATCTGAGTTGCTGCTTTTCTCTGCCATGGCCTATGACCGCTACCTGGCCATCTGCCGGCCCCTGCACTATGGCACTCTGATGAGTGGCAGGGCCTGCGTGTCCCTGGCCACCTTCGCGTGGTCCACAGGGGCTCTCAACTCCTTGGTGCTCACCTGCCTGGTCCTACGTCTGTCCTTCTGTGGCCCCAAACTCATCACACACTTCCTCTGCGAGATTCCACCGGTGTTGCTGCTGTCCTGCAGCCCCACCTTCATCAATGACATCATGACGGTTATTGCAGACATGTTCTTGTCTGGCCTGAACTTCCTGCTGACCATGGCATCCTATGGTTGCATCATTGCCAGCATCCTGCGCATCCGCTCGGCTGAGGGCAAGCGGCGTGCCTTCTCCACCTGCTCGGCTCACCTGGTGGTGGTCACGCTCTACTACTCTACGGTACTCTACACCTACGTCAGGCCAGCCCTGGGCTCCACTGGGCTCCTGGACAAGGCCATCGCCATTCTGTACACTACCGTCACTCCCTCTCTCAACCCGCTCATCTACACCTTGAGAAACACAGAATTCAAGGCCTCCTGCAGGAAGCTCCTGTCTTTTGCCAGATGAACCTGGCAGAGAGAGGACCTCTGGAAGTGGCAGGAGCGCGCCCGATGCTTCTCACATTTGAGCCTGGAGGATGTAGGTTTTTGTATCCTGGGGCTGTCAATGTCTGAGACCCTGCGTAGGAAATGCTATACTTTGTGCCATAGAATATCTGGATTTTCACTCCTCTAAAGGTTTTACTCAGCTGCATGCATTGCTATAGTTGTAGTACCTTAAAATTTATGTGTACATTAGATTCTCTTAAACATTAAGACCTTTGATCCTTTCAACTAGATATCACTAACTTAACTCAAAAGTGTAGGTTCTTTTAACATTCAGGGGTTTTTGTTTGGTTGGTTTTTTTGTTTGCTTAATGTTGGTCTTTGTGCTTGAACTCAGGGCTTAAGCACTGTCCCTGGGCTTTTTAAAACAGTTATTCTCACAGCTAGTACTATACCACTTGAGCCACAGCTCCACTTCTGGATTTTTGTTTTAATTGGACGTAAGAGTCTCATTTACTTTCCTGACCAGGCTGGCTTTGAACTATAATCCTCAGCCTCCTGAGTTGCTAGGTTTAAGATGTGAGCCACTGGCACACAGCTTCATGTACCATTTTTAAATGTTTTCATCGCAAATCCTGGTAGGACACCTCATTGCTGCAGAATTGGCAGAATTTGAATATTTATAACAACACAGGCAGAAGGCCGAGGCCCCTAAGGAGAAGCGTAGGAGGAGCACACGTGGCTGTTCTACGGGTACCAGATGATTTTGTGGACTGGTGTTCCCTGCCCTCGCTGCCCGTACTGTGAGCTGTACTGTGCGGTCCCGCTGACTGCGGACTCCGCACCCTACTCATACCTGCTGTTCACCCCTGGCTCTTCCCTGTCACCACGTTCTAGTCTCTACTTTTCTGAGTTCAACATTTTCGATCTGTACAAAGTGAGAAATGTGACATTTGTCTTTCTGAGCTATTCTTATTTCATTCTGTGTAACATCTTCCAGTTACATCCTTATTATTGGATTTTCTTCCTCTACAGAGCATTAGCTATATTGCTATATATCTAATATATATGTGTACATGAGACATTTTCTTTATGCACCAGTGGGCATTTACTTGCTTTTTATTGGATGTTGTGATTATTATGCAATGACCATGAGGATGGAGATATCTCTTCAAGACACTGATTTGATTTGCCCCAATAGGCAAATACCCAAAGGCTGGTCTGGTGGCCCATATGGAGTTCTTTTTAAAATTATTATGAAGAACCTACATATTGTTTTGTGTAAGGGTAGTACCAACTCTTAGTGTGCAAATTTCCATTTCTCCCCATTCTCACTCACACTTGTGAATTTTAGTCTTATTGATAATAATCTTCTTAGAGATGTGAGGTTATATCTGATTGTGATACTGATGTGCAACTTCTAAGTGATTAGTGATATTGAGAATCTTTGCGTGAGACCTGTTTTTTTTTAAAACCTATTTTAAGACATCTGTGTATCTTCTTTACAAAAGTGCCTGTTTAGGTATTTGTGTTTTTATATTTTTGGATATTAACCATTTATCAGATTCAGGGTTTGCAAACATCCTCTCACTCTATAGCTTGAAATTTCTTTTTTTTCTTCTTTTTCTTTTGTCAGTCTTGGGCTTGAACTCAGGGCACTATTTCTGAGCTTTTCTTTTCTTTTCTTTTTCTTTTGTTCAAGGCTAGCATTCTACCCTTTTAACTACTACCACAGTTCTACCTTTGTTTTTTTTGGTGATTAATTGGAGATAAGAGCCTCCTAGGCTTTCCTGCTTGAGCTGTCTTCAAACCAAGATTCTCAGATTTCAGATCCCTGATAAGCTAGGATTACAAGCCTGAGCCATCAGCACCTGGAACACTGCATTTTCACTTCAATTTAATTATTGTTTCCACTTAAGTAAGCAGAAGTTTTTTCATTTGATGTAGTCTCCCTAGTTTAAATTTATTTTGCCGATGCTTTAATATCTAATTGTAACAAAGAATGTCATGTGTTATTTCTCTTTGGGGATTTTATGGGCTTATAACTTATAGTAAAACTTCAGCACACTTAATTTTGTATGTATTATAAGTTAAATTTCAATTTCATTCCGCTGCAAAGGATTTTACCCATTCCACTTTTTGGAGCGACTGTTCTTTCTACAGTTTTTTTTTCTTGTCATTGCTGGTAATGATGAATTGAGTGTGGATGTATGGCTTTCTGCACTGTCCATGCATGTACTGATACCAGTACCTTATAAAGTTGATCACTACAGCTCTGCAAGAGATTTTGACATTTAAAAGTGTGATGTTTCAAACTTGAATTTTCTTACAATTCATTTAGTTTAGGGAAATTCATAGGATTTCAGGTGGATTTGAAATTTTTTCTATATCATTAGTAAATGCCATTTGGAGTTATTACAATTGGAATTGTGTAATTTTTTTGCATGGATATAAAAATACAATTAGTTCCAATCAACACATGGGAAGAACAGACAGTGCATCTCATCTCATGCTGGAGAGATGGAGAGAGTTTTTCTTTGCATGGTTTTTCATTTGGGGCCACACTTAAGTCTACCTAGGTATGTGGTTGGTTTTTCAAACACACAGAAATCTGAAAGTTACTGGGATTCTCAGGTCTGAAATTTCTATTGAAGAGGTAAGAAACCTGGTAGAAGGATCTAAAGAAGAGAGAGCTGCCAAGCACACATATAAAGCATCCTGATACTCCAAAATTGTGTGTGTGTGTGTGTGTGTGTGTTTAGGTCTGTGTGTCTGCCATCTATCAGTTTGTCTCTCTCCAAGCAATCCAATGGAAAGCACCATTTATGAAACAGGTTTCATCACCACAGGGAGGAGAAAAATGTTTGAGTCTCATTCTAGCCAAGTGAAGTATCCAGTAAGATAAAATCAATTCTTTACAAAGTTATGTATCACAATCCAAATCTCCATAATACTTATCTACAACCTGTACTATATATATATGTATATGAAAAATAAGAAAATGTGGTCCATATACATGTAAAAAGTATTCGATGTAAACTGACCCCATCGTTTTTGAATTAGCAGATAAGAACTTTATACCTTTGTAAATATGTAAAAGGCCAACGTAAAACATAACTGTGCTGAATATGCATGCAGAAAAAGTATCAATCTAAAGTGGAATCCTAAATTAAACATCAAGTGGAAACTACAAAGATTTAAAGTCAAATACCTCAAATGTGCTATCAACCAAATAACTTGAACTCTGGACCTTGTTGCTCTCATTTGGTCCTCCACCACTTGAGTCGTACCTCAGCTTCTTGCTTTTTGATGGTTAGTTGGAGATAAGAGCCTCAGATTTGTCTGTCCAGGCTGGCTTCTAACTGAGATTCTCATATCTTAGCCTTCTAGGATTATGGGCATGAGCCACTGACACTCACTTCACCAGATACATTTGAAAAGGCAATTAAGAATACTATCAGAGAATGTGAAAGTAAGTAAGTAGAATTTATCCAGTACTAAGATGAGAGAGTATCTGTGACATATGGCAAACACTCAAACATTTTGTAATTGAAGGAGAAGGATGGAGGGATGATTCTGATGAAGTACATTGTGTGTAGATATGGTATGTTAATACAAAATCCCCCCCCCCCCCCGTATAACTACTTCTTGACAGCAAAATAGGGGAAAAGAAAAAGAATAAGATAAAGCAACCACTCCAAGCCCCATCTCAGAAAGATAGAACAGTAGACAGATGCTTGGTAGACCTGAGGAGAATGAATATTTTTATTAAAGTTTTTTATTGGAAAGATGATGTACAGAGGGGTTACAGTTATGTAAAGCTGCTATTAAATACGTTTCTTTTTAAACAGTGTCACCTTAGAATGAGTATTTTTAGAAAGCATATCTTGGCACATTTTAGTCATACTGCTGATATTCAGAGACAAAGAAAACACAAATGTCTTATTAGATAGAGAGAAACAATTAGCAATTATGTGAATGAGCTGGTGTCTCATTTAAAAATGAGGCTAAGGATTGAGAGAGGCATTTGAAAGATTAATTTTAAAAATATACAAAGTGGTTGGTAATCACAAATTTTGAATCTAATGAAAATATTACTTAATAATGAAATAATCATATTTTCCCATAATCGAGACAATTCACTGCTGGCTGACCAGGAGAAGCTTTCAGGTTGGAAGGTAATGATGATGCGGTGGGGGAAGAACTCCACTGAGAACAATGAAGACGACCTGAAATGTAGTTACAAGGTGGATATAAACACTGATATTGCCTTTTACTTTTCTTTTTGTTCTACCTTTTTTTTCTTAATTTCTTCCCTTTTTTTGGTGGGGGGAGGCTGTTGTCAGACTTGAACTCAGGGCCTGGGCTCTGTCCCTGAGTTCTTGCCTAAGACTAGTGCTCTATAACAATCCGCTGAAACAGACAACAGATTCCCAGGGCAACACCGATACTCTAAGACACTATGTTGGAAATAAATGTTGCAACTTGGGGAGGGGGGAAGCACAGTGGGAGAAAAACAAAGGAGTGGGTAACAGTGCTCAACAGAAAGGTACTCATTACCTTACTAGCGTAACTTTAATCCCGCTGGTACAATAATAATAATAATTAATCATAATAAACTAGTGCTCTACCACTTTAAGCCACAGCTCCACTTCCTGTTTTTGTTCTCTCAGCCTCCCAGGTAGCTAGAATTATAGATGTGAGCCACTAGAATCCCATTATGGGTGGGTGGATCAGTGGATGAACAATGGATGGTAACTTGGTAGGTA